AGGGGTGGGGGCGGGATAGGCAAGACGTATTACAAACGAGATCACAAATGTCTTTGCGTCGGACTCGATCGCAATAAATTGTTATTAAATGGCTCGTTATTGACAACAAAGTACATCGGCTCCGTTTAGTCAGGAAGTCACGTGTGCCCACGGACGATTTTTCATAATCCTTCATAGAATCAACGGAACGTCAACTGCTTGGAATTCTTTGGACTGTTGCATATGCTAACTTTCCTTACTCTTCTGAATGGCGTTAGAGTGCTATCCTTCTTCAAATGTTTATCCGTAGAATTTCTATAAGCTTGTTTCTCCCTCACTTTGTAATAAAATAAAGTGAAAACAAAACAAGGTAGTTTGGGACTGGAGTTTATTTCGATTTATTTGCTTGTAAAATCATATTTTCCCAGCACAATAAGATCACTGTTTTTCTTTTCATGTCATGAAGAACGTTTGAAACTTTCAACAAGAATCAGCAGTCACTTCTTTCTACCTGTCTGTCTTCCCCTGAACTCAAACATAACTCAACTGTTAAATCTTGGCACAAACTCATGTGCACCACAATTTTTTTTATTTGACAATATTTGCCAACGCCGATTTAATTTCTGGGAACTGAAACTTGTAACCCAGTTCTAATGTCCGTTTAGGGATAACTTTCTGTCCTTCCAAAAGCAGTTTCCCGCGTTCTTGACTAAATATAAAATTGACAACAAATGCGGGTGTTGGAAGAATGGCAGGTCTCCACAGTGCGCCTGCGTATTCCTTTGTAAAGCGCTCGTTCGTCACAATTTCCGGTGCTACTCCGTTCAAAACACCAGTCACGTGATCGTTTTCGAGGGCGTGAACAATCATTCCAGTCATGTCATCGATGTGGATCCAAGGAAAATACTGTTTGCCGCTTCCTATTATGCCTAGGAAAAAAAACCCGATAATTTACTTATTGACTGAGTGGAAAAGCCGGAGGGGAAACTATTTGGCTAGAGATCAGGACGTACGGACCGAAAGCAGCGAGATCCGTGCGTCCAGACCGAGAGGTTAGTTCACTTGACTTTCGACCATTTGTCAGTTCGAGTTTCCATTCCTAGCAGTATGGTTGTATAGCCCTTTGCCTTTACCGAACTCTCACTTTCTGAAATTTCTACTTCGAGTTAAGCATTCGATTTTTATTAAGATCAGTTTTCTGTTTTCTAAGTTCTGTACCTTTCGGCAGGTCAGTGTTTTTTTGTTTTCTTTTTAACTTGAAGTTGATAGTGTTATCCCTGCATTACAAATGATAGCTGATCCTTACCCCTATCCTAATGAGGCTAACTGGAGTATCATTGAGGCTTAAATTTTATACCTCAGTCGAATTTTTTACCCGAACTTGAACACATGAAAAGGACAATTCCAACTTTTAGTTTGAATAACAGTCTATAATGGTAAACGAGTTGCTTCTTTTATGTAATCGGCTTGCAATTCAATCAGTTGCGATAGACATTTGAGCAAAGTTGAAAATAAAAGATAAATGCCGTCATTAGAGGAGGAGCGACAACAAATTACAGGTACTTACCACCAAGACCGAGCCAGAAAGGCCAAATTGACTGCTGTATGATGCCTCCAGTGCGACCCATTACCACCCCGATCCTTAGCTTGACCAATCTTGTCTTGCAGCCCTCGGGAAGTTCAGCACTGTTCTCCCAATCATTACACAGACGTGTCAGTTCGTTGGCAGAACTTGGAGGTGAATCCTCTGTATACTCTACTGTGTCACTTGGTGGATAGTAACCTAAAGAAGAAATTTATAATGTATGAAGAGATGCAGCGAAAAAGTTAGCTCCTTCAAGGCCGACTAGTTGTCCTGTCACACAAGATTCATCAATCAGTTTTGCGTGACACCATGCCACGCCCTTCACTAGCTGGGATTCAATCTCAGAGGATTGACCCAGCCTGTGGATTTTGCCTACTTTTACGGAGACGATGGTACTGTACAGGAGATACTGTATGAGAGCACAGCAGCCTGTTCCAAGGGTTGGTTAGTTCATCGTGTTACGAGTATCGTTGTGGAGCAGGGTTGTTTCCAGACAGAACTCAGGATCGCTGGTAACAGCAGCAGGTAACTTCGCGAATTTACAGCACTAAGCTTCTTCAAATTTGAATCAATCTCTCTTATTGCAGAAACTCTCGCTCTAATATACATGAGGCTTAAAGTTCTAGAAACTTCTATTAGGAGCTAAATTAAGTAGTTTGACACAGTTTCTAATCTGAGTAATTACGTAAGGATTAGAATGTTCTGGAATGTTCTTGTACAAATTGGTCACGGCTGAATGACTTCCGGTTCTAGATTGTTCTAGAACTTGACTTAGACAATTTTTCGTAACACATCGCAAGGTTACTCCTAGCATAAAATTCGTCAGTACCCATTTATACACCTTAGTAGAAAGAGGCACTGTGAGAGTTAAGTGCCTTGTGCAAGAACACAACACAATGTCCTCGGCCAGGGCTCGAACCAGACCACTACACTGTAGATCTGAAGGCACTAACCATGATGCCACTGCACCTCTGGAACAAGGTGCAGTACAAGGTGGATTCCATTTTTAGTTTTCTAGGACTATTCTGACTAATATTCCTTATATAACATCACTTCCAAGAGGCTTACCAACAGCAGAGGAGGAGACAAACACTTTTGGAGGATTTGTGGCATCTGCAATTTTTCTTGCCAAGGTACTGGTGGTTTCCAAGCGACTGTTTCTTAATTCCTTTATGAACTCTTCATTCCACCTTTTCAGAATACAAACAGTTACAAAGGATCAAAATATATTAATTTGTCAAAAAGGATCAAGCACACATTATGTAAAACAACTGTCGTTACTGTTCTTTTAAGGCTGTAAGCAATTTATTCCAAAAGCTTACAGTACACTGTACGCCTAGCATTTAATTTTGAGTGTGACAAAATAATCATATATGAAATTCTTCTGTCATTAACCAATAAGAAAAAGTGTCACAGTTTGCTCCTGCTTTATGAGGGGAGCAAAACTTATATAGTAAATTTTTATTCCATATTTATTGCATCACAGTAATTGTTACCTTTTTAGTGGATTTAGAATATTTTCTCCAGCAAGATTGACAACAGCTTCACACTCTGGCAAAGGAGCCTTTGAAATCTCATTCTGTTTGGAGAGGAATTAGATTAGGTTAATAAATGCAACATTCATTGTAATTTTATTGCTGTTACACGTGCCTGTAAACTTTTACATAACCAATGAATAATTTGTCGCTTCTAGTCAATTTATAGCCTGCAAACACAGACGTATTTCTGGCTGTCGCTTTTCCCCGCCCAAAATAACATCTGCGAATCCTGGCAACTCACTTATATTATTACACCTCCCAATCTGAGCTGGTGATTCATTTTTTCCCCTCTAATCAATCATTTCTTCTACAATGCTAAATATAAATGCTATTAGAAATAACTACATTTAAACACAGGCTATACTGACTAGTTAATATTTATATATCTTTAAATTAATTAAACACTGACCCAGGTTATTCTTCCAGGGGCTTGAGTCCTTGATATGATGGTAACCTCGTGACCTTTGCGTTTTAAGGTGTCCACCAAGGCTTTGCCAATGAATCCCGTTCCTCCTCCTGAAAATACAAGGACCTTAATTACACAGACCACTCACTGGACTCTTAGTATTACGAACTCTCATACGGTTGACTGCACAAACATGTTACCTTGTAATCAGGCAAATGTTTCTGTGACCAGTCGCTTTGAAAAGTAGTTACCATACTACTCAATGAAGAAATATATAAGAAAGTGAAAAAAAAAACTTGGCCCGATTGCGGATTACAAACATGTGTAAATGATGTTAACATGAAAAAACAGCCAGAACTGGTTGGATTAGATAGCCCGGAGGAGGGGATTCCCATATAAAAAGGATGGGGGTGCTCATCATACCTTAGCCTGCGTAGCAAGCGTTTCTGTGGTGTTCGGGAGCAAAGAATATTACAGCGCGAAAAATGGAGCGAGTAAAAGAGGGGGGAGGGGGAGGGGAAGGAAGGAAGGAAACTTCCTTCCTTCCCCTCTCCTACCCCCCTCCTTCTTTTTTTTGGTTCTCGCCCCATTTTCCGCGCAGACTAAACACCGAAAATCCTGTTCCTCGGTCTTTCTTTGCTACCAAACCCAACAGAAACACTTGCTACACAAGCTAATCATACCTATAAGAGTTAAAAACACCGTTTTGGTGCCTCTTAATGCGTTCAGCCTCAAAAGGTCTACAGCAGGAGCTTTGCAATACCATTTAGGGTATTGATTCAGAAAAACAAATATGACAGGAGATGTATTGTTTTAGAATTGGCACCTCTTTGGGGCTGACCTCTTACAATATTACATGTGACAAAATTGTTATGCATTTCCACCCTCTAATTACAGGTTACAAGCACGTGTACTTCCGTTTTTTAATTTTTTTAACTGTTGCATGCACTGTTGGGCAAAACGATAATTTCGTGGAAAAGCACGAGGCGCAACCCTAACGGGGTGTGCTGAGGGGCCAAGGGGGCCTCCATTTCACAATGACAAAGGTTCACAAAAGTATGCAACATCCCTAACTTGTATTATAGCCCTTTTATATCTTGGTCGAAACTGATAAAGAAGAAACTGTAACTTAACACCTAGTAAACTGAACGGTGGTTCTTAAAGGCAATGCAACTCTTGGAAGTATTAAAGCTTGAAGCTACCATGTTACGTAACTGCCAGAACCCACCTACAAGAACTCTCATGTCTTATTTCCTCGAGAAGACTGCTTCAAAGGGTCGTCTTTACAATATCCTGGGTCAGGCTCCGGGCAGTGGAAATAAAAAAGTTATTGACGGACACTCCACGCTCGATTTCTACACATTTCTCCCTACAGGTACAGCTTCGTCTGTTTTCCTCTCTTGACCGAAAACCCTGGGGAAGATAACCATCAAGCATGCTATTTGATATGAAAGCCGCATCCACAAATACTTACATATTCAGAAAAAAAACGTGGGGCTCTGGGTCGAGATAATTTCTTTCAAAATGGCCGCCGTTAGCTGATTTGTTTATGCCTGAAGTTTAGGGCTTTGCTGTTTTATTCCTGGATGATTTAACAAAGAAAAGATACGTCTTGAAATTTTGATCTCACCTCTAAGTTATGATGCGTACAAACGTTCAAAGAAGGTGGAACAAACGCAAGTATAACCGGCTTCGTGTGTCCTCACACAGCTGATAATAATTTTTCACCTTGGTATGCCAGTTTCCTCAGCTATGGACGGACCTCCCTCGTTCGCTGAGGACGGAGGTATTTATTTAACTTAATTACTTTCCTCCATTGCTCATATGTGACTGCAATCGTTTTTGTAGAATTATGTATGACACACAAGTTTTAAATACGCATCAAACGAAAATTTAATCATATGGCCAAACATATTTTTGTGTACACGTACTGTTAGACTTTATATGTAAGCTTACATGTATGAAACAACTTCGGATAACTACGTACACGTATAATTGTTTACCAGAGATAACTGCAGGTTTCTTACAACCTGGATCATACAGTTAAATGATTTTTCTAAGGTCTGCATGGGTGTTGATACCAGACTGAAACGTAACCCGTACAGGTAGCCAAAATTGCTCAACTCAAGTTACATTATTTTATAGCTGCTGCAGTTATCTCAAACTATGAGGTGCAGTTTAACTTAGCTTTGATTAGCAACTTTATATTTTAATCATGACTTCAGACAAGTCACAAACTGTACATTTGTGCATTGTGTATCTATCTCCTATAGATGGAAGGCCATTTAGTGAGATTTATGCACGTCAGTTGATCTCCAAGATAAGTAGAGAGGAACTTGAAGATAAATATCTGAGACTCCAGGAAGATAACCAGGTACGTTTGATTAAATTGCTCTTTTTTTTTCTTTTTGTTTGTTTTTTTGTTGTTGTTGTTTTTGTTTCTTTTTTTTTTTTTCAAAGATCTTTAAAAATCTTTTGATGAGGGTCTTTCAGGATCTTTCTTTATCGTAGTTGAGGCAGTCGAGGATCTACGAAGATCCTCAAGGCAAAGACCCTTAAAAGTGCTAGAACCTTGAAACTGGTGCCAAGATCTTAGAGGATCTCGTCAAGATCTTCAAGGATCACGCAAAGACGTTTGGAAGAACCTTTTCTAAGATCTTTATAAGATCCTCATCCTGTTTTGAAAGGTCCTGTCAAGGATCCTTGATTGATGCTATATTCCTATAGGATCTTTTGTAGATTCTTGAAGATCTTTAAAGACTCTTAAAGTTGCTATAAGATTTTTTCCTCCAAGGTGTTTAGAACCTGTAATGACTTGCCTTTGATCAAAGCACTGAGATACATAATTATTAAAATTTAGCATTTCTTTATTTGATAGGAGTTGAAGAAATATGCAAGGAAGCAGGAGGAAAAAATCAAAAAGTATCTTGCAATGTGTTTTTGAATTTACTCTTTAATCTTATTAAGTTGATGAAATTTTCAAGGTGATCAACAACTGATTTCTCCTTGTACAGTACATTCTCAAACCTTGAGCCTCTAAACCTGTTTCTAGATTCTTTTCCCCTCCAAAAAATTTTGACTTTTAAAAACTCCATACCTCCTCTCTTGCAGAAGGTATGGTATTAGAAGTAAATTCTTTCTTCATGTACTGACAATGTGAATAACTTACTAATAATTTGTCTTCACTTATCATAAGGATGGCAACCAAACTGCTTCGATTGGTCCATGACAAGAAAAAAGAAGCTGCAGAAGGAGGTACATATACATGTAGATCTTTGATTAGAAACAATGTATTTTCTGTGATCTTTTTTAATTCACATGTTATCATAAAATATAAAAAGAGGGACTTGAAAATTTAATTTAAAATAATATTTTATCAGAATTTTTGTTTACATGCAAGTACCAGAACCAATCTCTTAGCCTCCTCCATATGTTTACTTTAGCAACATAAAAACAGCAAGAGAAAAACTAGGGGAGGGGTGTGTTGTGGGGAAAGTGAGAGACCCCTCCTTTGCTTTTTGTCTCGCCACTAATTTCTCTCTGCTCCCAACTAACTGAAGGCATGGAATAGGTACCAGTCTGAAGGCTCAATCACATATCAAAGTTACACGTACACATTACAACTGTATAAACTGTGCATGTCCTTTCTAAACTTCATCTGACTGTCAGTATGTTCACTTGGTTTTTGACACTACGCATAGGGTAATTGGTCAAATTTGAGTAATGTAGACCATTGTAAATTTTCTGGTTCAGTAAATGTAAAAAGTCAGGTTAGGACAAAACCTGGAATTTACAGCTTGCGTTTTAGGATGACTGATGGTTAACTTGGTGTGGAAAACTATGACACACAGTCTGGACAATTGTCATCACACCCTTACGAATCAAAACTTATTCTTCTCAATTTTTTTCAGTTTTTGCTGTGAAAGATGTGGATACAAAGGAGAAGATAGCTGATCTAGAAACTAAAATTGTAGAACTAGAAAAACAGAATGCTGGATTAAAAAACAAGGTGAGTAAATGACTGTATTGATTAATAAAATATAGTAATATTGTGAACGTGCTGTTATTGATTGCTGTTATAAAGTAACTTAATTGTGACAACCAAAGGAACTAAAATAATTAACATATTTGTTTTAATTTATTTATTTGAATAATTGTGCTGTATGTATGCACATACATTATAAATTTATATAGCAAGAGAATTGGTGTGATTGGTCACAATCATTGTAGTTTAAGTAATATTCCAAGAATTTGACTGGTAACATTTTAACATCTCAATCTCAGCTCANAGCAACATAAAAACAGCAAGAGAAAAACTAGGGGAGGGGTGTGTTGTGGGGAAAGTGAGAGACCCCTCCTCTGCTTTTTGTCTCGCCACTAATTTCTCTCCACTAATCACATATCAAAGTTACATGTACACATTACTATTGTATAAACTGTGTCGTGTCCTTTCTAAACTTCATCTGGCTGTCAGTATGTTCACTTGGTTTTCGACACTACGCATAGGGTAACTGGTCAAATTTGAGTAATGTACAATGTAGACCATTGTAAATTTTCTGGTTCTGTAAATGTAAAAAGTCAGGCTAGGACAAAACCTGGAATTTACAGCTTGCCTTTTAGGATGACTGATGGTTAACTTGGTGTGGAAACTATTCCACACAGTCTGGACAGATGTCATCACACCCTTACAAATCAAAACTTGTTTTTCTCAATTTTTTTCAGTTTTTGCTGTGAAAGATGTGGATACAAAGGAGAAGATAGCTGATCTAGAAAGTAAAATTGTAGAACTAGAAAAACAGAATGCTGGATTAAAAAACAAGGTGAGTAAATGACTGTATCAATTAATAAAATATAGTAATATTGTGAACATGCTGTTATTGATTGCTGTTATTAAGTAACTTAATTGTGACAACCAAAGGAACTAAAACAATTAACATATTTGTTTTAATTTATTAATTTGTGCTGTATGTGTGCACATACATTATAAATTTATATAGTAAGAGAATTGGTGTGATTGGTCAGAATCATTGTAGTTTAGGTAACATTCCAAGAATTTGACTGGTAACATTTTAACATCTCAATCTCAGCTCACAGTTGCTAAGCAACAGCTTCAAACTCAAGGGAAGCGTGCAACACCGTATGACCATGTTAAGCCTCGAGTTCACACAGTAAGTAAAAATCAAGGCTCCATGTGATTTCTAGAATGTAGCTTAAATTAATTAATGGAAAACTGTATGATTGCTGCTTTTATTAGTTTTTTTTTTTCTTTCTCAGTTTGCCCCTGTCGTGATTTTATTTTTTAGGGTATCCATGCCAGAACCCCATCTGGAAACCGCCTCAAAAAGGATTTGAGAGTTCAGGGCCATGACATCAAGTTAGTGAATCCTGCAGTCAAAATTAATATGTCAAGAAATTCTGAAATCTGTTTCATATACACTATGTGATCAGCAATATATTATTATATTAATATACATGTAATAACAAGATATTGAGAAACATTTTTTAATTAATAGTGTTAACTTTATAACATAATTTGTAGTGTGCGAATTTTATAAAATTTTAAAAGTTCAAATGTGCATGGCAGCAATTGGATGACAATAAAAGAGAAAAGATTAACAATGTTTGGGTTTCAAACATTCACTAAGTTCAGTAGAGTGAATTTAAAAAAAAATTGACTTACTGTAGAATGTTCCTTGATTATCATTGATAATGGATTCTCTGGAAAAAAAAAAGGACTACATGTACATTGTAAAAGTTATATGGAAACAGAGGTTTTGTCTTTTCTTTTTCTCTTGCTTACTTTGATTACCTCTGTAGATGGAAACAGCTTTTTTGCAAAAAGTAGAAAGAAATAAAACCTGTATCCCCTGAGTGTTTGATTAAATAACTGTAATCTATCTGATTTTGTGTTATTAAAAAATTATAATATTATATAAGCACAGTGTTAATGCTAACTTTTTTTATGTTCAGACCTGGATCATCAAGAGTTCCACCTCCCATGTTACCTCAGCCAAGGTGAAGAATTTGAATCTGAGTTTGTCTGCCTTAGCTCATAAACATCTGTAGTATGAGATTTTTTAAATCTATCCCATGCATAGTGTACTGTTACATGCACATGTAAATTATCATCAGTTGTTTTAAAAGTTTTAATTAATAGCTGTTCCGTAAATTCCTGTCATGTGATGTTTATTTGCTATCAATGTAAATTACAGTACTAGATTTTCAGTTTGTGTGCGGTTATCCCTTTAAAATAATTATTATTAGTACCAGTAATATCCTTTTTGCAGTTTAAGATACCACACTCAGGATGTACGTACTTTTTTTACCACTTCCTGAATGTGTTACTCCTTAGGCTGTGATATGAGCTTCAAAGGGTTAATACTCTGAAATAATGTTATTTAGTAGTAAGTTATTACTACTTGCATATACATATTACTGTACACCAGTTATTTGTCTGAAGATCTAGTGTGGGGTGCAATATACTAATTATTATTTATACAAAGTCATATAAATTTAATGGATAATTTTCATTTTGCAGTGTTTGCTTTCAGTTGCTACAAGATAGCAGAAATATTATCAAAATAATAGCTCTAGATTTCTATTTTAACTTACATGTAAGGTGATTGATCCACTGTGTTTTGTTTTCAAGATATGGACATAGTCTTCTTGAGGAGGCCAGACTTGAAAAGAGGGAGCTGTAAGTCAGATTAATTTCATTCTACTGTTAGTAGTTATTTTCCTCCATCACTAGACAAGTATTAATAATAATATTAAGAACAGTACAAGGTGTACCTTGGTTTTGTTTTTTGTTTTGCTTTGTTTTGTTTTGTTTTTTTCTTTGCATTGTCAGTAATGTTAAATATTAGTGCTTGTTAATTTCAAGGGAAGAGCTTATTTCTCAACTTCAAGATCAAATTCAGTTGCTGGATGAGGATGGAGCTCAACTAAGGGAACAGGTACAGTAAAAAGCATTTAGGATATCAACAAAACTATCCTTAGTTCCCTCTTTTGTTTCTTGTACTTAACAGACCAATGCAATTTAAAAAGAATCCCTAATAACCTTGTATGGGGTGCATGTAACTTTAAGGCTAACACAAGTTATCTTTTGAAGTAGGCTTGACTACATGTACATACCTGTACATTACTGAATGGGTTTGTACAATCTCCATGTTGTTAATGGTCCTGTCTTTTGTGCAAGAGCAGTGTTCATCTTTTTTGGTTATTTATTGTTGGCTACAATGTTTTGTAGTTGAGGCAAAACCAACTTCATTATGAGGATGAGATCATGAGGTTGAAAGAACAGTTATCAGATGCAAAAAGGTTTGTTTGTACAATACTGAGTGCACGTGGTTAAAACACATATGGTAAAATGATGAATTAAATAGTAATAAATAGTAGCCTAAATAGTACCCCGGTAAAGCCTAAAATAGCCCTCAGGCTAACCTACATTTATATCACTGACTCAACAATGGTAAGCTCACAATAATTTTAAGGGTTTTAAACCCTTACAGACACACATATCCCACATTGACTTTTACCTGTAGTGCTATTTTGTCATTTCACCATTCCATGTGTTAAACATGCCCAACACTACTCACTAATAACAGTCTGTAAGATTTGTCTTGGGGGAGGAGTTCATTGACAGAAATAGATTTTTCTGTTGTTTAACTGTATCTCAAAGAGACTGGGAGTAAATTGCCCCCCCTTGGTATCTTCCAGTTCGATTTTTTTTTTTTTTTTTTGTTATTTGTTTTTTTTTTTTTCTCAATTTGGTAGCACACAGGATTCTCTGAATCCTGTGCACAGTCTTCATGGTTCTGGGAGCAGCTGAAAATTTCTAACCTTTCCCACTCACACAGCAATTCTGCCAGGGTTGATCTTTTAAAGATGGCTTTGGTGACATTTTAAAGTTTCACCTAAAAGTACATGTAAATAACTTGCAATATCACGGGTACAGCTGTAGTCCCCAACATTTTCATTGGTAAAGTAGCATAGCCAGCATTTTCTTCGCAGCCTTTGGAAGGGTAACCTGTCTATATTTGAAAACCTGAAACCTGGACCTCAAGAGTTTTTTTTTTTTTGGTTGCTTGTCTGTGTTTGTTTGTTTGTTTGTCTGGTCAAATGTTTGCTGGTATTGAACACTGTCCTTTTGTTTAGATCCAATATTCAGGAAAATGTGGACTTGATAAAACTTCAGAGAGAAATTAAAGAAAAAGCAACAAAGTTTGAAGCTCTGCAAGTCAAATATCTAAATCTAGAAGAGGTAAGGTATGACATTTTGATCTCAAAGCCAGGCAAGGTCATTTACATGCATATGTGTGAGGGCTGCTCCACAAACAAGTAAAAGCAGAAGCTACATGCACCTGTAGATTTTTGTGGGAATAACCTTGCTCTTATTTTCAAAATGTCACTGACTATGCTCAAGGTTAGGAATAAGGCACTTGTTCTAAATGACTGTTTTCATTTCTGAATTAGCATTGTGCTTTTATTCCTGTTTTTAGAATCTTGCCAAAGTCAAAGCAAGCCACACCCAAGTTCTTGAGGATATGGAGAAACTTAATGAGGAACTAAAACAGGTAATTTAAGTCAGAACTAAGTCGTTGCTTACTGTAATGTACAGTGTACAGTGCAGTAACTCTTCCCAGCTGTGCATAAGGGTACAAGAACAAGATTGAGGACAAGGGTGATTTTTCAAGCCTGGTGTTAATGGTTCTGATTGTCATGATGTAGACCTGTCTCGTAATGATAGTAACAACAACAACAACAACTTTATTTATACTTATTCAGCTAGAAATTAAATGGTCAGTAACAGGGTATGGTAAGAACTCTGGAGGGGTTTTTTCAAGTGCTTGGCATGGGGCAAATTGATGAGCTGTGAGGATGATTTTGCCCACCTGGTTTGACCATATACACAAAGAGAAGAGTTTTTCTTATTAAGAAGTTCAGTTCAAAAAATTTTGCTCGCCTGTGAAAACCAGTTGCTCTCCTGCTGAAAACGTTAATGAATCCCTTGACTCAAACCAGAACTTAATATATGTGACTATTGTACTTATACCCTGTCTCATCAGACTCGTACCCCAGTCTGAAAGTTGCTACAGGTAGTGTCAAATAGGGTGGCAATAAGATTGGTGCTGTTGGATAAACACAAACCTCTACGGGTAGCACTATGCAAGAGATAAATTACTATCCAGTGTTAACAAAACAAACCTCACTATCCAGTGAATGTTGATTTACCTTGTGAATAGCACTATCTTGAATTATCCATCCGGTAACTAACTTAGCCCAGAGTTCATTTCCAAGCCAGCATCATGTGCAGGCTTGTTTTCTTGTTGGTTCTCTCCTTCATTGATCTTTGAGCTTCTTTCTGGATATCTATAGTTTTTCCCCCGTCGCAAATTCAAACACCAGTTCCAAACAATTACTGTACATGTGCATTGAAATGTTTTTTATTGATATGCAGGTATTTTTTGATCCACACAGGAACAGACAAAGAATTTTGTGTTGAAAAATGATCTGAAGAGTGGAGGAATAGCATCAAAATCTTTATCAGAGGTACGCACATTGTCAGATTGCTCTTTTTCCACAATCGAAGGTTTCTAAAATCTTTCATTACTAAGATATATTTAACTACATTCACAAGGCTTTTGGTGAATGTCTGCAAAATATGCCGGTAAATCCTGAAAGTGAGTTAGACATCTATACAGTACATGTACAAGACTTCTCTCTGAATGTTGTTTTAAAATATTTACGCCAGATGATACTTACAGATACAGCAAAATAGTTAATACAAGTAATTTTTAAACAGTTCGAAAACTACATTCAAATGATAAAGCTCACCTTATTTTCTCCGTGCAAAATGCATCTTCAGCAACTTCAAATGATAGGAGATCTGAAAGCTGAGAATGCAATCTTGAAGGAAGCAAATGAAAACTTAGTGAACAGGTGAGAGAAATACTCCAGTGTGTAAAATTCGCGATCATGTCCTGAATTATGAATTTTGAAGTTGCGCATTACGATTTATGCTTATTTTTTTTCGTTGTTACTTCCAGCGCGTTTGACGCAGAAAGAGAGAGGCAGCATAGAGCAAAGTACAGGCAAATGGAGGTAACTACACGTGAATAACGACACGCCTTTTTGCCGTTTTCGTCAAACAAAATTAATTTTAATAATCTAACCTCCAGTGTTGGAAAATCATTTTCACCCAGATTTTAATAGAGATATAGCATGTTTGGCTATGAGCCGTTTACACCTGTACATGTACTTCAGCTGTCATGGTGTTACGGGCTCAAGTGAGTGTCAGTGAATTGCCGTAGAAGGTGTTAATCAGTAAGGAAAAAGTTTATTTGTCTAGTACCTTAAGTTACAAATTTTTTAAACTTAACTTAGATTTAAACGTCAGTGTCCTCGAATTTTGTGGCGTACCTATTTTCACCATTCTCGTTTTATGTTTGCCATTCTTCGAGTTAGTTCGAGGTCGGATGACCCGTGGCTACAAAAGCCCCATTTAGTACTTGCAAGTGTGATCGTTAATACTCTTGAATTGTTTTAGGTGGAGATGGAACAGTTAAGAGCCACTTTACATTCAGACTTACAAGAGAAAAATGACATTCTTGACAAATTAACTAGCGAAAGAGGTAAATCGAGCATTTTTCTATAAGGACCAACGTTTATGGCCTACCATCACACATGCCAAACAAACAGTCGCAGGCGAATACAACTACTCTTGCCCAGCCCCCCCACCTAGAATGTTAAAACTAGTAACTGCAATTTTTCCAGACTTTCAACATTGTGTTGGGTGGAGGAGAGGGGAACAGCAACGCAGTCTTAAAAGGATAGCAGTGCTTTTTCAAACTTCAGTTGTAAAACAAAATCTAATTCGTGGCATTACGTCAATGTCCCAAGGAATTTTGTCCACCATTATAGATCGTGTTATTTCTTCTTATCTGTGTCTTCTACATTGTTGACAGAGTCCGCTGAAAAGCTTCAGACAGAGCTTCGTGAACTGAGGGTGCAACATTATACCTTGAAAGAACAACACGATGACTTGAAAGAGAAGATGAAATTTTTCACTAAGGTAATTTGTAGGCCACTATAATCTGCCAGAATAATTAATCTCAGAATGCATCATAAAATAGCTAGCACAGGAAACATTGTCGTCAGTGTGTAATTTCTGTCTTAAGTTTGTCATTACGCCGAAGCTAAGATCCCTTTATTGTGACTGTTCTTATTATGTGTGCCAGTTTGTATTTTTACAATTTCGTTTTTCCAAAGAAGGGGGAAATACTGTTTGCTTTACTTACTTGAAGCAGTGACTGTCTCGCTCATTTTATGAACTTTCCAGGAGAGCGCGGTAGATTTTCAGGAAATCGAAGAGGCCCTCGTCTTGATCAAAGTAAGTCATCAGTGAAATCTTTATTACCAGTACATTCTTCATTTTCTATCCGATTTTATCTGCTACAAATGCAGGGTGACTCTATCGTAATAGTAACTGACTAATCAAAAGTTCGGGTTTTGTTTAATTGTTGTGTTTTCTCCTCTACAGCATAGAAAAGAAAAAGGCAGTCAGGACCTTGATTTCTTAGAAAAGGTTGATGACGAAATGAACAAAGGTGAGTCTTGTATTAAGCAGCCGTATGCATGCACATGTTTAATGCGAATGTTACTTTTTCTACTTTTTGCCGAAAGCCGTATTGTATGACGGCAGCCAAAAGTCCAATCTCTATATATTAAAATTCTAACTTAGCTGCGAGGCTTGGGGGATAAAAGCAAAAGAGATCGCATCGAGGTTGAGGGATGAAGAAGTACTTGTAATTGTTTACGTTTTTACTTTTCGTTTCGTTTCGTTTTGTTTGGCCAATTCTCGAAACCAAGTTAGAATTTAAGTATATTGAAACTGGCCTTTTCACAGAACACTCCATACTTGAATCACACTAATGAAGTCAGGTTTGAGTCAAGTTTCATTTTCGTCATTTCCTTTTACACTTACAACATGGCTAACAAGTTGTTTTGTTGTAGATCTAAAGCGACAAGTGCAAGAACTGCAGGCGTCACATGCCGATACCATCAACGAACTGGAGAAAACGAGAAACATGTTAATAATTCAACACAAAATTAACAAAGATTACCAGACAGAGGTAAACCGAGAACAGTATTGGTAATATTACGAATGATTTGTTACTAGGCAGTGTACCTCACCTCCAAGATTTAGTTGGCCTGCAAAAACAGCGACAGAAAAATAAACAGGTGCCCAAGTTTATTGAGAGGTGATACAGCACATGCAGGGTTGGAAAAAAATGGGGCCGGTTTGCGATTCCCCGCTAGTGCGTTTACCAAACGGAAATTCCCTCGACTACAAAGTGGGGAATTCACTCGACTACAAAGTGGGGAAATTCACTCGACTACAAAGTGGGGATCGTTTTGTACGCGTAATTCAATGACGAGGAAAAACAGAGCGAAGATTACTGTGTTTACCTTAATTTGTATAGGACCACATCCAACTACGAACTGAAAGCACTGAAAAGTGTTCGTATTCTGGTAGTATTCTGTTCACAAGAATGACAGAAAGTTTGCAGCTTTAATCCGAATGCTCAAACTTCTCTCTTGATTGAAGGTTGAACGAGTAACCAAGAAGATGAGTGAAGATAAAAAGGAGTATGATCTGAAGATGCAAGAGTATGCACAGCTGCTGGATATCAGAGCTGATAGAATACGAGTTAGTATTACAATCAATCATTCCTTGACCAATTTAGTTGTTGTTGTTTGTTTGTTTTCTGTTCGTTTCATTGACGTAACAATTTACGATCACGGCGGTTCGGTGGGTACGAATTTTTTACCATTTTTATTTGTTTTCTCAATGCCTCTGAAGCGTTGCAACTTATATCTGTATACTGTCACCACATTTCTTTTCAAAAATTGTGATATTTACCAGATTTTTTTCCTACTAACTCAGTAAAGATTTTCATTTTTTGACAGTGGGTATTCATTACATTGAATGTAAGAGAGGACTAGAGAAGACTTAGAGAACTCCGACTCATTCACAATTTTCTGTGGTTTTATATGTTATGCATTGTGGCAACTATTTTACCTAATTGTTAAAAGCTGCTTTTCTTAATTTAGGCATCGTTCTCTTTTCCTTTGTACAGAAACTTGAAAGTCAAATGCGTGACGTAGCTTACGGAACCAAACAATACAAAACTGCTCCATCAGAGGTGATACAGTTAAGAATCCTTGCAGCTCACGAAATTCACTTCTGATGTTTGTTGTTTTTATGGTGTTATGTGGCCTTAGACCTTTTAAAACTTAACTCTGTCAATCTTATTTTATCACCAGGAGTCTGAGTTTGAAGAAATGGATAGTACGGTCGAGTTGGAACGAGGACAAAATATATTTGAAATTCACATCGATAAGGTATGATTTTTATTATGTAAAGACGTACATGTATACATGTTGTACATGCAAAGTAGAGCGCTTTTCGACGGAGTAACGTAACACAAAAATCAAAGTGATCACTTTAGTCAATCACAAAGGACACAGACAATCCAATGAACCAATCAAAGCTCAGAGTATATTACATGTAGCTGACGCGAAACCCGGGAAAACGTGTGCGGGCACGTCACGATTGGTTTTGGGTTTACTTCTTCAGGATTGGATTAAAAAGTGGCGCAAGTTTTTTAAGCCAGTCGTATGGCGTAGTAATGCAAAACCAATCCGCCGTAGGAAGAAAGATGGCGATTGGTACATTTACCCATAATTCTTAGCGCAAGGAAGCTTAAACAACGCTCAACCTTCAAACCCAGCGTGCACAATGTCGATAGCACATGGACATGTACTGCAAAAATATGGCTTTCCTTTCACTTTACGGGCTGTATTAGGCTCGCATGGTATTGTGGTAAAATGTACAGCCGCCACCTTTTTTCCTACGGAGGATTACTTTTCGACACTCAAGTGAAAACCGCTCTAAGGTAGAGTTACTTTAACACGTCATTGTTCAGTTTTGCTTATCATCCAGTTAGCCTGATATTATTTTGCGTAACAAATAGTCCTACTTTCGTCAGGTCATCTTTTCTCAGGAGTCCGTAAAAGAGTTTGAGGATGATGAGCCAGTTACCTTCGTAACGTACGAGTTCTTTGAACACGAGCTTCAAACCACGCCTGTTGTCAAGGGAACCAGGTAGAACTGCCCTCGTTAACGCCTTCTCTAAGGGCTACCATTTTATAAATCAAAAATGTTTCCAGGTAGGATCATTTGGTTGTTGATTTGTTTAACATACAACTAAGCTTTACTTCATGTTCTTTTTTAGGCCGGAGTTCAATTTTACTTCGCAGTATCTTGTCAGAGTGGACGATTTCTTCCTGCATTACTTGCAAAAGGTGAGAAACTTATTTTATACGCTACTTTGCTTTTGTGTTTGCTTCATGACCGGTCACGTGTTTTGAGTTCAGATTGCTTTATGGCCGCGTAGATGGGTTTTGATGATTATCAGTGAAGTATTGTTTTTGTAACAGGAATCCACGTTGATAGAGATCCATCGCGCATTTGGTACTGACTACAGGACTGTAGCAGCTTGTCAACTGAAGTTCAGAGATCTTCTTGAGAAACCTCATGGTAGAGTTCACAGCACTGCTAAGTTTATAGGTGAGAGTTTTTGTTCTTAGTACAATTTCTTCACTTTGTAGGACCTGTATCACGGTCGGCGCTTGTTGATACATTCAACCTTTGGTTGAACTCTTCCAAAATCTTAGCCATCCTTGAAGTTTTATGGACTGATTGCGCCTGAGCGAGCGTGTTTATTTTTTTCATGGCGGTGGCAAACATGTTTGACAACAGAGGGCTCTGTGTTCTGTGTTTTATCCATGTCTTTTCTGCACTATGTATTAATAGGCTCCAGGCCACCGTGTCAAGGCGTCGAATTTGCCACCATGGAGTACTGGGTCAGACTGAGAGTTCCCATGGACCAAGCAATCAGATTATACAGGGTCAGTATGTTTGTAGTGAGTAATGGTTTTGTGGTTTTATGCCTATCACGGTTTTGCGGAGGTTTTGCGGAGGCAGCCCCACTTGAAATCCAGAGGTCGCAGGTTCAAGTCCCGCTCTAAATTTATGCATGCTTCTCGGTAAACAAAAGTTCAACGCCTCGGTCATGCTTGTAAATAGCCAACTGGTGTGCCTCCCGTCAGTTGAGATTTTTAAGCGTATTATGTTTTGCTAATGTATTTGTTTCTTTCAGTTTAAGTGGCATGCCTGTGAACTAGCTTGTAGCCTCTTCCAGGCGTTCCGTTTGTTGGGCGCAGCGCAAAACAACAAACTGAGCGCCTGGAAGAGGCTAACTAGCTTGGCGTATCTGAGCGCATTGACCACTATAAACAATAACATTTGAACTTTGATTTTTGCAAGCTGGCAGTACTCTCTGTTCTGTTTCAGGAGCATACCAAGGCGCTTGGTTACATGAACTCCGGAGCGTACAAAGCGCTTGAAGACGCTGGTCACGTTCCAGAAAAACCACCATCTGACGTGAACGAACTTGACGTCCATATCATTAGATGTAGTGGAGTTAAACCAAGGAGACAAGGTAATAGTGGCGTGAAGGAATGAAATTACTTTCAAACACTTTCGTCTGCAGAAAATCAGCGTTGCGTTAGACAGGGTTGCCACAGGTCACGAAATGGTCAGGGAAAAGTCAGGGAATTTCATTTTGAGTCAGGAAAAAAATTATATTTTGGGGGGAAATTCAGCGAAAATGACCCCCCGTTGTAGGTGATCGGGGCGATCGGGTTAGGATTACAGCGGAAAGTCCGGAAACAGGGGCGTAGCTAGGGGAGTCCTGGAGTGCTCGTGACCGCCCCTCCCCCCCTTTTGTAAGCCTTTTGTAAGCAAACAATCTACAAAAGGTGGCGAAAACGACATGACAATCTGGTGAGTACCCTCACTTTGACATAGTGTGACCCCCTTTTGAAAAATCCTGGTTACGCCCCTGGTCACTGCTGAAAAAAGTCACTCAGAAAGGCGAACACTCGAACATATGGTCTCGCAAAGAGTTGACTACTTGAGTGTCGTCATTGATTTGTGCTGTGGTTATTTTGCAGGAATTCAGCCCAGTCCATACGCGGTATACCGTTTCTTTGACTTCGCTGATCATGATACAGACATCGTGCAGAGTACAAACACCCCAGAGTTTAATGACATCAAGACATTTCCTGTGCCCATGACACCTGAACTGGATACATACCTCAGGGCCGCGGTAATACGGCTTTAGTAGAACGGTTTCGTTGTTGTATTTTCTTTGTTTTTGCTCAGATTAATCACCTACCTGCAAAACAAAGCACAAATGTAACTTGGCTGTAGGCGAATGTTCCCGCGCTTTTGTGTCTTTTTTGTTAGTACGCACGCTGAGGTGATTGGTTCAGGAAACTCGTGCAGCATGCTCTGACCAAACACGTGAGAAACCAAACACAAACCTGGCTTTCATGTAGGTGCGTTTTCGCGCGCTTCTGTGTCTGTTTTATTCGCTAGGTGATTGGTTTAGGAAACTGTACTCGTTTAGTTTGCTCTGACCAATCAAGTGCGAAACCCGAACGACGACAACCGTTTGATAGACAGATACAGTTTGACACAGGCTCCATCTACTGTCAGCGCGCTGTGGCTAAATTCACCATCCTTTGCATTGAGGCGTTACGTGATAATTACTCTTGCAGGATCCAAGGAGCTTAAAACTCCTCTGCACCTCAATGGTAACTCAGATTGCCTTTGAAATTTCCTCGATTTTAGTCTTAAGTTTTAGCCCGTAGTCTATATAACACTTATTACAGGTACCTAAAAATTTACAGCTATACATTGTCAGGCAGACTGGCGATGAGAACAAAGATACACTATCGTGATGTACTGCCAAGTTCTCACACTAACTTTGAAAGAAATGTATGGCTACCGTAAGGAGAGTTCATACTTCAATCTGAAAAGGCTTAGGCGTTATTATTTACAATTTCAGGCGCTGGAGATCTATGTGTTTGACGATGCTGATCCAGAGCCTGCAGTTTACCTGGGACTCGCTAAAGTGCCTTTGATAACGCTTGCTAATGACAAGACTATCAAGGGGACCTTCGAACTTAGGCGGGTAGGCGAGAAAATTTCATTGTAGAAGCAAGCATTTAGGGCTGAGACTGTAGAGAACAAAGTTTACAATTCGTTTCTTGCTGTCTCTGTACCTCCAATCAACTTTATAGATTTCGAGCGAGCTCTTTACTTATAGAATAATAACCTTGAATTGAAAAACTTTCCACGCCATTTTTTTTCCTGTCATAAAACAAATTTTTATTGCAATCGCAATGCCGGTGGAAACCGCTAGTTGACAACATCCCGCTAGTATAGTAAGAGAAGCAAATTCCACCATAAATTAAGTCATTTTTGTATTATGCAAATTATTTTTAAATATAAGCAAAACTCAGATTAATTGATTGCTTATGGAACTGGAAAAACGCCAAAGAAGCAAGGAACAGCAACAGTCAAGAAGTTACTCATTCAATCCTTTTCGTGCCCTTGGGCACTGAAGGACATATAGTCAAGAACCAAGGAAGATTAATGTGGATAACATGAACGAACGAACTTGAAAAGGAAGCCTGAAATTAATTCAAATTTTGTATTCTTCTTTGTTAAATTTTCAGGCCTCGGGAGGCGTCAATGGAACAATTGATGTTTATTTGAAATGGAGATACACCTATCTTCCGGCTAGTGCCAAGCCTCGCGCGGCACCTCAGGTATGCACTTCTTCTTCTACTGTAGATTGCCCTCGTCGCTACCTCCAGCCATTCTACAAACTCTGTCGAAAGAGAAAGAAAAATAACATCATCCCTCAAAACGGCTTGACTGGTAAAGCCAGCCGTGAACAACTCGTTGCTCAAAAGTTGGGGAAGCACTTGCGTGATGGCATATCTCCATCACTACATCACCAGATAAGGTGGTTGGTACATATATGGGTATATATGGGATTGTGACCAAGCCTGTGATCAAGACAGCTCAATATTTTGCGAGTTTATAGACGAAGAACCAGTGTAGCTCCATAAGCAGGCAAACAGAGGATATGGCCGCACAGCCTTGACCAGTAAAGGATTTATCACGTGGCATAAATAATACAGTTTTTCTTGCGAGACACAGCGAGCAATCCAGAGTGCCCAAAATAATCTCATCTCATCCCTTGGATAACCTATCACTGTGCGGGATTTGGTTCATTCGTCCATAGGTTAAGATCGTTTTTGCGTATCTTTCAGCGAGTAATGCAAGTACCTGACGAGAGAGAGTCATTTAACTCCGACAGTGAACCTGAAGTCAAATCTGCCGTCAAATCATCAAACACGAGAGATAAGCCCCCATCACCTGTTGACTCCTCGACTCCGAAACAGGAACAGCGAGAAGAAAAAATTGCCAGGCGTGAGTCTGCTCATCTGGCGCAGATTAAACGCAAACCATCAGACCTTTTAGAAAAGGTTGAACCAGATGAGCGGAAAAAGTAAGTTACATGCTCCCCAACAAAATGGGAATGAGACAATTGCAAATCGCAGAAAGTGAATCGACAAGTTTTAAAACGCTCTGTGTGTCGGCACCATGGAAAAAATTAATAAAAAGTATCACCGGCATAACAAGACATGCAATGCCTGCTCAGCCAATGAGAGTTCATTTTCACCGATAGCATTTATGTTAAGTGTAAAAGTTATCTTAAAATATTTTACGGGTTTATTTCACCTTCACTTGCTTTGAAAATTGATTGAAATCGTTTTATTCGCCGTCTGAAAAAAATAGAGAAAAGCCTCTGGAGTCCATGTCAGTGGACGAGTTGATAAAGGCAACAGCAAAGAAACCCCAGCCTGCCCCGCGCACCCGGAAACTTGAACCCGAGAAGCCTGTGGAGGAGATGTCCATTGACGAGATGTTCAAGGCCGCCGAGGAGCCAGCGGAGGAGCCTGGGGGAGAGGTGAAGTCCACTAGAGAAATCGTTGAGACAGAGACATCTGAAGATGAACAGGTAGGCTGGATGTAGGGGTTCAACGCGTTTATTGTTGAATTCTGGGGAGATTGTCCGTAAGCTACGTCGGAGTAGCTTGTTCTACTAGTTATAGCTGCCCTGGATAGCTTAGTTCGTAGGGGGTGGGGGTAGGAGTCAGATTGTGAAGCAGGTGGTAGCGTCTTCAAATAATCGAGGACAAAGGCATTGCCCGTAAGATGACATCTTCAATTTAGTTACAGGGTTGCCACAGGTCAGGAGATGGTCAAGGTAAAACACTTCAATGTCAGGGAAAAGTCAGGGAATTTTATTTTGAGTCAGGGAAAATTGATATTTTGAAGAAGAGTCAGGGAAAATTGAAATAATTTAATACGGCTGATTTAATACCATTGAATGTTGGAAGAAACATTTAGGGTCACTGTGATCTCAACGATATTTTTCCTTAATTGATAAGGAAAAATTTCTTGAAAATTATCACTCTTAATGAACGAGTGGAAGAAGAAGCCGCTACTAGACCTGATATTTTGTATTTCTTTGATGAGGGAAATTTTATTTTTCTCAGGGAAAAGTCAGGGAATTTTTAAAAGGGATGTCTGTGGCAACCATGTAGTAAAGAACTGATGGCAGCCTTCAAGTAGAAATGGCGTTTTAAAAGATCCACTGCGCTTGGTGATTCGGCACCCTGAGGGAGGTGCAAGGTTCTTCACTTACAATTTGTTTTCTTTTTAAGGATGACGAGGCCCTTGTGGCTGAAGAAATGAGGCGGACAACTGAAGCAGAAGGCAGCGAGGACACCATGTTTGAGGAGCCAGCGTCAGGTACTGATCAGCAGACTTCGTTAATTCGTGAATTACCTCGTGTAAACTTCCTGAATTGTAACGTATGATTTTGCTCACTAGACCTCGACTCGACGCTCGGCGAGGAGGTGGACATACCCCTCCCCTCAGCGGAGTCCAAGGAAGAAGTGGACGACGAAGAAGAACCGGCAGAGGAAGTGGAAGAGGAGATAGATGAAGAGGAAGAGGAAGAAGAGGAGGAAAATAAAAGAGAAGAAGAAAAAGGCGACGGTCCTGGTGAAAGCGGAGCTGAGACAAGCGAGAGTGAAGCTGTGATGGTTTCCCCGAGACATTCTCGTGCCAAATCTGCCGTTCAGGTAAAACTGGAATTCTCAACGAAAATGGCTATACAATTTCATGACTGTAAACAATTACTTTAGGGTGGTTTTTTTATGAAATAGCACTTAATCAGCTAAGTTAACCGCTGTCCATTATTGGAATTCAATTACAGTTGTCCATTATTTTACCAGTAGACGACTACCAGCGAACCTTGAAAAAGGAAACAAACAAAATGGATCAAAATCACAACCAGCAGACGTGATCTTTTGAACCCGATGAATTAAGCTTCTGTTTTCTAAGAGGTCCGCTATGGTGATTGCCGCCAGCCGGCGAAACACGGAACCGTTTTTTTAGCAGGGTTTTTCGCGTTTGGTTGGACCCCGTTAATTCGAACTCGGTTATTTCTAATTGCCGGTTATTTCGATCTCAAAGCCATTCCCCTTGGATTTACCCTTCAGTCATTTGCTATTGGCTATTTCGAACTATTTTTCGTTTCCCCCGAGTGTTCGAAATAGCGGGGCTCAACAGTAATTCAACTGAAGCTTGGTAATATAACATTTCGATTTTTTTCATTTTAGATAGCCTCTGAGAGTTATTGTTATCGTTATTGCTGTTAAGGTTGTTGCTGTTTTCATTATACAAAACGTTTGTCCAATTTTGGTTTTGCAGGTTGCTTCGACAGTGGTTATTCAAGTCACAAGTCTCACTCTCCATCCAGAAGCGTCAATATTAGATGATCCAAACGTGAAACAAGTGTTTGTTGCTTACAAGTTTCTGGACTGTGATCCAGCTGATTTGGAAACACCTATCTCTTTACCAAAACCTGCCCCTTACAGGCCTATATCATTTAACTTTAAGAAAGGTAAGGTTAAGCTGCAAAATACCTTGTCCCGCACCCTTGTAGTCATACAAAAACAATGTGCAAGAATTTGTTTACTTTCGTCGTCAGCCATTGTATAGCAAGCACATCGAACTATTGCGTCAATTTGTAAGACTTAAATTGGCTGTTGTAAGCAACAGTCACCCTTAAGGTAGATGTCTGTGAGATTGCCTTAAAAGGGGGGGGGGGGGGTAACAGCAGCCTGTCTGTCATTCTAATGTTTTGCCCTTTTTTTCAGTTTTTCATGTGGATGCAGAGAACAACCAAGTAAAAAGAAATTACTTGATTTACATGTTGTCCAACGATCCTAAGTAAGATATTCTGATTTACCTGCTTTTGATTAATTTATATCTCTCTGGCTGCCCACCCGCCTGCCTGCCTCCCAGCCTGCATATCTGTCTGTCTGTCTGCCTGTCTGTCTGTCTGTCTGTCTGTCTGTCTACCTGCCTGCCTGCCTACCCACCTACCTTCCACTCTATCTGCTTGTTTTGTTTGTTTGTTTTGCTTTTTGTTTGTTCGTTTGTCTGTTTGACACATCTGCTTGGTTTGTTGGCTACTTACTTGGCCTTGAAGTGCATGTCACATGGCACCAACGCTTTGTTTCAAACCTGCTAATCGAACTTTTATCATTGAATTACTGTATTCATGTGATGCACGTATTTAGCCGACTATGATCGTCCAAACTAACTACTGTATTCGTTTGTAGACTCGTGTTCACTGTTGTCAGTGATCCACCCGAGGATGAAGGCGACTGTGTTGATGTGGCTTATGCCTCAGTGGATTTCGTACAGGTTGGTACCTTACTTATGCCCGCCCGGCTTAACGAAAACGAGTTGCTTGGCCAGAAACTCTCATGACTCGATCGACAGCCGTTGTTCGGGAAAGGAGCATGCTCTTCCGACCCGAAAGAGTTTCGGAAATCGAGCCTACGTCAGTTTTCGTGTACTTCGTTTACTCTCGCCAATTCTCTTCGCTCTCGGCGTTTCTCAATTTCCCTGCGCTCTCAGAGACTGGGCAGTTCTCGTGCCCTTTCGGCGACTCTCATCAATTTTCGTGCGCTCTCGGAGACTGTCGTCAATTGTCATGCGCTTTTGTCAATTCTCGTGTGTTGTCGTCGACTCGTGGATTCTCGTACGCTCTCGGTGACTCTCGTGCGCTCTTAGTGGCTCTCATCAATTCTCGTGTGTTTTCGTTGCCTTCGTCGTCTTGGTTTGGGTAAACGTCCTGGTACTCTCTTGAGACAACAGTTCTGTGCTTACCTGCTCCTCGCGGTCACTTAATCCGTCCTCTCACAGATTCCCTTTTCTCTTTTGTCATCTCCAGGGTCGTGCCAGTATGAGGCAAACGGAGGCACTTGCCTTTTCGTTTTTGTTGTTGTTGTTGTTGTTTGTTGTTTGTTGTTGTTGTTGTTGCTGTTGTTGTTGTTGTTGTTGTTGTTGAAGGGGAAAAGTAAAACACAGCTAAATACCAAGGAAAAGTAATTCAACCATGTACATTGCCACAGTCATAATATTTTTCTGGTTATGGCCCTGATCTCTGTTTCTGTTATGGAACGTGTCTAGCAAGACTTTGAAGTTTTTTACCGGACCGTTTTGAAATCTTTTACTTGTCGCTAGATATTGAATGAAAGGGAGGACTTCATCGACAAAGACATTGAACGTAAGTATTAGAGATTAATGACTTCAATCACTGTCATCTATTGTTGGTCTCAATCCTGCACGGGTATATTTGCAAATTTTCCTCTCGAAACTCGATGAGCACCGTAAAAAAACTAGATGCAAATATTAATACGGAAACCCAGCTCCGCCCCTCGCGACTATTTAACAATTATTAAAAACTGGATCATTGGATAAAGCAATTCAAGAGATTTCACTGGCTTACCCATCATAGGTTATGAGCCATTATACCATGCTCTGCCAAAATGGGTGTTTTTATCCAACGCTCGCTCCTGGAATAATAAAATAATTAGATTATGAGCTCGAGGTTTCTATCGCGTGAAAGTTCAAGAGGACCCATAATCCGCTTGTTTTAGTATGAATCTACCAGTCGTACATTCTCTTCACAGACTACAGCAGAATAGATAGTGAGTATATCGCAGCCAATAAGAGGACGGCATTCGTGATAGAACGCTAGCAGATAAATTTACACTCAATGTCTTTCGCAGCATATCTATTACGTGGGCAAGATATGAATTTTGAACGCAGTATTTTATTAAACAAACTGAGACAAAAAAGGTCAGTTCACAAATGGACAATAGCATCCTAATTTTGTGTCTTCACCGCAGTGTACGACATCGAGAGTAACTCTGAGATTGGAACACTGACGGTCACTGTGGAAGCGTTACAGGCACTTTTGGGCTTGTATAACGACGAATAGCACCACTGAACTGTCTCCAAGTAAAGTAAACCCACGCTTAGAGGTAACGAAAACTTGAATTGAGCTTTCCCCACTGAGCCGCGAAAGATCAAGTGTTGTGCATGTATGAAGACGTCACAAGACGGGACATTTCAGAGTAGTTCAGCCCTCTGTGAAATAGGATTTTGTTGTTGTTGTTGTTATTGTTGACAAAAACGCGTCGTAAGCAAACATTTTATAAAGTACTGTAAAAATTGTAAAGTTTGTAAATAAATTAAGAGCTCTAGGCTCTGCAATAAACGTCATAAAAGGTAATTAACTTTCTGACAAAATTTCTATTCCTTTCCAATAAACGTAATGCGCAAAACTGAAAAATATTCGGGTTCGAATTCGCCCAAACACTTATCTGTTCACACCTCAAATACAGAAATGTAGAAACAGTAGCCCCGAGAACATGCTCGGATATTTTTCGCGAACGTTATCGGTTCTGAAAAGGGAAAAGTTTTCCGAGAGCGAAGCTCGGGGTAAACTATGGGCTTAAGGAACAGATAATCTACAAGGACAAATATCTGAGCATATTTTTGCGCCAAATGAAAAACCAACAATTGTGTTTATTAACCGTCAAATAATTTTCGCAACACGCGCAGCTTTGAAAATTAGGGAATACCCAGTTTTAGCTGGCGTGAGACGTGTTCAGTCATGTAACGCGCGTGTTTCGACCAGTCGCGTGCGAGCGAAAATGCTTGATAGATTATAACCAAGGTTTTTCTTTATATTCAAGGACGCACGACTCGAAGGACACCTGGAATATCGTATTTTAAACCGGCCTGTTTTTCTCAATTCAACTTGAATACGTCATGTGTTCATCCTTGAACACTCTTGAATACTGCACTGCCTGGTGTACATCACCTTTTGCGCGCGCCTTTCTTTGAGTACTTCAAGTGTAGATCACATATGGTGTGTACCTGTTGAATGGCCGGTTCGTTTGCTACAAACGTTCCTGGGAAATAATTCCTTGAAAATTTGTGGTTATCTTTAGTATGTTTATATTTGCTTCTATAGCAGAACAGACTGAAGATTATTTCAAATTTTCAGGGAATTGTTACTCAATTTAATTCGCTTCCGCATGGTCAACGACTTCTCGTTTTCAATGGAAGTTTTGATTCGGTTTAACCAGATGAATCAGGCCCGTTTGACACGAAAGGACTTAATTTCCTGGGATTCTTGAGGAGTTTCAGTCTTAACCCTAATCCTAACGAAAACCTAAAGCTACGGAGTAGCTAATACTTCGCTCCTTATTGATACCAAAACTTCGCTGAAAAGCTCAAGAAAGCAGTTATTAGAGGATAGTTTCCTCAACCGTCGGAAGAGACTGCGATGGTCGATACAGCCCAGTCATGATGGGCTTTAGTTTTGAAACTGAGTGGAGAGACAAATACAGAAAAGGTAGCAATAGCGCGAAATGTCCGCGAATTGCTGATGTTGACTTCTTGTGAGAACAGGAATGTTCATTTTGCCGTGGTCGAACTCAGTCCCCAGGGGGGATAGGAAGCTTAAGTCCAGGCAACTCTCTTGGCGTGGTGGACTATTTCTGGGCACATCAGACAACTTAATTAAAGTCGGCCAGCCTAAGAACTGTTAAACAAGACTTCTCTCTAACGTAGTTTATTGTTGTCCCAAAATTAAGCCAAGTACATGTTAACTGGAGTATAAATCCGAGAATAAATCGGAACTGCTGTTACAATATCGCCCATAAAAACATCAAGTTAGCATTGTGTGAACGCTAAATAAACATGAAAACTTACAGTACTTGTTCCTACAGAGTGGTTTCACATGACGTTATGGCAGCCTTATTGCTGTCCCAAAACAAGGAAACGGCGGCCATGTTGGTGTCTTCAATAAATCCTGTGGGAGTTGAACTCTTTTTCTTATGTGAACACTTTCTTTTGTTCCGAAGAATTGGCACGTGAGTGAAAACGCTCCATAGGCTCAGTGCATGTCATTACATTGCAATGCATTTAATGTTTCTAATAAAGTTCGGCATTGTTACGTCCGTCTAATTTTTGCCATTTACGTACATCACGTAGAGAATTCTCAAACTTTCTCAGCATGGATGTAACTAATAGACAGACCGTATTCAGTACAATAAGAGTACATCAGCCTCCAGGCGATATTCTATTTAACACAGCAAGTACGGAATTAATAAATATGGCGAGCGAAATAAAACAAGATAACTATATGATATATAATCCTACCAAACCACATGAAATAAATGTGTTCAGTCATACCGCGTACACGTAGACACAATGAATCACTAGCTTCAATTCCTGTCTGCACTTTTACTTAGGCCCTTTTTAAAAGCGGCATCGACAACAAAATATATTATTGCCTAACGAACTACACTGACAGGGGCGGATCAAGTATTTTTCAAGTGGGGGTGGATTGTACCTTCAGGTTGCAGAATCAATTGAGCATGCCCCAAAAATGTGTCAATTTGAGAATTGGAACCTAATTTAAAACTGTTACACCACAAATGATAGCAATGCCACAAAGAAGATATAACATTGAGGTGACTGTCCAGAGTATTTCCTTTCACTTCTGCAACTTCACAACATATTTCAGTTTTCTATTTTTGCTTCTTCTAAAAGGGGAAGTGGCTAGCCACCCAATTCACCCCCCTCCATAGATCCGCCCCCGACTGATACGAAAGGATCAAGGTTGATTACAGGTCCCTGGATCTATTTCTTTTTACGTAAAATCAACGGATTATGATGATTAAAACTGAACGAAATGATCTCTAGCCCTTAAAAATGTCCAGGCATCTGAACACCCCTATAGGTCATCCTTTCTAGCTCGCTGCAAATCAGGTTTGGCATACCAAATGCTCCAACTCTTTGCCATACTTTTTCTGGTTACGGTACTTTCTCACGATCATGATGGTCACTACCAGCAAGGCGATAGCACCCAGTACACCTGCTACGATCGCGATAGAGATGACGCCTGGATCCGAGCGGCCAGAGTCGTCAGATTCATCTTCGCTAGAGCTGTACATGCTGTCGTCCTATTAAAGAAAAAAGAATCTTCAGACTAGGAACAAAGAAGTCAACTAGTACCTTAATCAGCGGACGGATTACCCAATAGTGCAAGAAAATAACTTCTCCAGGTTTTTTTTTTTTGTTGTTTTTTTTGTTTTTTTGTTTCACGAGAACAAAGTTTCTTGAGAATTTTTTTATTTTTGTACTCTTGTTTTCCTTTCCATAAATATCCCATAATTGTAGGCGACCTTAAACTGGCATATGTTTTCAGTTCTTTTCGTGAAAAGGAATATGAGAAGAGAAAAAGCTGTTTCAGTTTTTTCATAGTCTCTTGTTGGTAATACATGTAAGGAGCGTGCTAACTAACGGATTTGTCCTTAAGATAACGTTTTCAGGGAGAACAGTTTTTTGTATCTTTGTGTGTCGTTAATCAGTCCTCACCTTGCCGACTTGTTTTTCATCCAAGCTGCTCAGAAATTGTGGGTGTGCCTTCTCACCCCAAACCTGTTTATCCCGAGTCATTAGATCGTCGGAGTCATTACACGACGCCACGAGAAGCCCCTCTTTTCCGACAGAATATCGATCGTATTCATCAACTGAAAGATCGTACACAGGCACGAGTCCGCCTTGGGGTGACGAGTAGAGTTGCGAGCCCGTTAGGTGTTGCTTAAGTTTCGGCGCTTTTCCTTTTAATGCGTGAAGCGAATGTGACGTCGTCACGTCTTTAGCATTCAACCACGAGCGTGATCCCACCTCGAAGAAGGGATGATCCGGTGTGACCCAGATGTCTTCGTTGTGCATTCGGAACACGACCAGATCTTTCGCAGGTACGAGGCGTTTCCGAACTTGGTCGACGCGACGGAGGTACGAAACCGACGGATCGTCGCCCTCGTGGCGAGTCACCACCATATCCCCTTCTTTGATACTCTCGATCGGCACCAGACCTTTTGCAGTGTGAACCAAGGTATCCCCTCGGAAACAGGATTTTAGCAGACAGCAGTCGTGATGCCACCTAGGTAAGCACTGAACGTTGTTTGGGTCAGAGCAGTCGCACGTCTGCGGTGGACAACACTTGGGACACTGGATCATGTCGCATTCTGTTCCCACATAAGGCGGGGTGCATTCGCACTTGAATGGGTCATGTGGACATGAGCCATGCTTGCAGGGTTCCACGCAGTACCTGATTATGTTGCAGGGGCCATGTTGAGGATCAAAGCCAGAGACATGGACTTGGCTCACCCAACCATAGTCGCAGGTGCACCTCTTTCCCAAAGGAGTGACGTCACAAGCTCCATGTTCACATCCGTCACACATCTTGACAGAGCACTGTGGGCCCATGTATCCTATGAAGCATTAGATATAAACATAATGTAAAGTCCAAAGGAATAAATAAGCAAAAAAATTAATAAATTAATTAAATACCAGTAAGGCAATGAGCTGATTGAAAAATAACATACGCCGTCACATTTAAATGGGTTAAAAGATCAGTGTAGTAACCGTGTTTGAGTCTGGATGAAACTTCCCATCACTCCTCGTGCTCGCGCGTGATCGCTATTAATATTAACGAGAGAGACGACTGGGGACGACTGTGTTGTATTACATTATCGTTTGCATGCTATGCGGACCTAGCTTCAACCACGATTCCTCACATTGAAGTTGGCCGAGAAAAACGGTGCAGGCGTGGGATGACTACCCTGATCTCATCGCGGAACCTAACACTTGCGTGACTCTCCTTTAATACGGTCACGCACGATTCTTGGAAATTAATTAAACCATAAAAACACAAACTCCAACCTGGTTTGCAATTGCATGTATTAGGCCCGTCCTCGCATGTCCCTCCAGTGGAGCTGCAGTTAAGGCACGGTCCAGTATACTCGGTACAGTTTTCTCCCTTCCAGTTTGCCTCACATTCGCATACGTCAGGTTTGTGGCTACACCGTCCGTGTGCACACGGTACGCTGCATTCACTGATAGTCTCGCAGTGAAGACCTAGTAGTATATATGTAGATGGTCAAAGTACAAGTAAGTAAAATACTAGCAGCATTTTTTAGTTGAGTTAGTCGAGATCGCAAACAAAATATTGACCGAAAGGGGATGGAGCTGGAGTGAGATTTTTGTTCTCTCTCTTCGTTGTTCTTCTTCTCTCTCTTCTCCACGTGCGCTAGCACAAACAAAATCGTCTATGGACAGACTGGATCTGCTGATCTCGTGGTCAGTAATGGTGGTTTAGGCAGTGAACTGGAGACTCTAGATCTGTTGTTTTGGGATAATAATCTCACCTGAATAGTGTGGCGGACAAACACAATGGGTGAGGTCGATACAGTATCCTCCGTTCAAACATTCAAATCCTCTATGACAGTAAGACCTGACAATGAAACAGACAAGCACATTACGAGATGAACAATCGGAATGAAAGTGTGAGTTCATCACTCATTCTTGCCCAAAACCGACCGCGTAGGAAGCTACCATTCACCACAGGGCGATTGAGCTCAGTGATGCCAATGCTCCGTAGGAAAAGGGTGGCGGCTGTACATTTTTTCTTTTGTAGCGAAGCTTGTCCACTTTTGCGAGGCCGTTTGTTGCACAAATACAAAGTTGGCTCCTAACCTTATTTTGTGTTTTATTTAAAGTTAATGTCTTCCGTTACCTTGAGATTTTTGGAGACTTAGCTGTTACGACCATTTCATTGAGCCGCGACCAAAAAAAAAATACAAAACGGCGACCCCGTACGCCTTTGCCGCAAATATTACAAATAACACCTCGATCGTAGAAACGTGCGAACTTCGTTCTTCTGTTACAGTTCATAATAAGCCATGGGTATATTTAATCTGCCGAGCCGAGTTTACTTACATTTTTTCTCGGGTAAAGTTTGCAGTTGGTCCAGCTTACCTGGCACATCCATTTTCAGGGCTGTAGTAATTTTCGTAGCATACGCATTTCATTGGGTCGTTTGGGCATGCTCCATAGACGCAGTTTACTTTGCATAGTGATCGGTCACACATGTCTCCCACCCAGCCAGGATCACAGTCACATTTCATCGGGGACTTGACGCATGCGCCATGTTTGCAGGGAAACCACGGATAGCATGACGACACGTTCTCGCAGTTAGGCCCAGTCCACCCCGTCAGGCAACGTTCGCATGTTAAGCCATCCTGGCCGCAGTAGCCATGTTTGCAGGTCGCATTCGGCTTGCAGTCGATGCTTTCACAGCATTCTCCCGTGTAGAGCCCGGTCCGCTGTCGAGCGTAGCACTGGCAAGTCTGCGTTGTAGGTTCGTAGTTGCCATTTCCAAAGCACTGTGTTTCGGGAGGGCAAGAGCCTTCCACTTCCAAAAGACATATCAGCAAGAAAGAAACCACAAATCTTGCAGACATGATTATGTAACTTCGTACAGATCCTGCGAAAGAAAAAAACCATAGCAATGTATTGCGAGTAGAGATAAGTTAGTTTACCAATATGTATTAAAGAAAATTTAACGTGAATTAAAAACAATAAGGAAAATTAATTAGCCGCGTAGCGAAAGCGGCAACACGTGGGCGCCGCGCTCCAACTCGCGCGCTTTTATCATTACTGGCTAGGTGTCACAGTTCTCCTCCAGTATCACTCGTCTTAGAGTCAACAATTTTGAACTGAGCTTCCAGGCAAAAAAAGTACATTCAAAAGGACTAAATATTCACCGAGAAAATGTATAAGCCTTTGGTTCTCTGACCTCGAGAAAAAATCTCGGTTTTTCCGGTTTTTCCGGGAATTTTTCTGTCTAGTGCGCAGACCGAATAACTGGTAAATACCGTACTTACTGATCCAACGAACGAATAACTAAACTACAGAGTAGGCTATGGCTGCAGTACTTTTCAAAATACCTTAAAGTTTGATACCTCTACGAAAGGAAAGGAAATTTTATTAAGTTTGACGGGTCACATAAATAGCTTTACGTTTGGGGAAGCCCCATTCGAATTCCACGAAAACCGTAATTGGCAGACAATCACATTAGGCAATTCTGACAAGCTTCCGGTATCGCAAAAATTGGCTGACAGAAGCAAATTTCTGATTTCGAAAGTCAGTCGTGCCAATGCAAGGCAAGTAACTCACAATCGCTTAGTCAAGCAATTCGTTATTTATAACAACTGAATTGAAGCTTTGCCTCTGCATACGTCGTCAATTTATTTATAAATTTAGGCCCAGTTC